TATCCCTCCTTTGAGAGCCCCAGACCCCTTTCTCCTGCTTGGGGACCCTGGACTTCTTATCAGCCTGCCTAGGAACTGACTCCCTCATTTGTTTTAGTGGATTCTTTCATTTCGGGGCACTTTTTCGGTGTTCTAATTTTGAGCTCTTCTGCTCTGTTACTGATTTCTCTGCTTCTCGGACCTATGTATGGATTTCGTAGGTATTCTCAATGTATTAGCTGCTGTGTAATTTTTAATGCTCTCGTCTTTAATTGGCTTTCACACAAGCCTTTCCTTTATGTGAGGAATTTGATTTTCAGATGGAAAGCCTCGTTTCCATCAGCCTCAGTGGCTAATGAAAAGGTAGCTGCTGTTCGTTGGGTGAGACAGAATGTTCCTAGCGTGAGACCCTCAGGGCCTTTATTGAGGAGGCCGTGCACAGGGGATGGGGGATGCTCCTGGACTGACAGGAAGTGACGCGGCTGAAGCTCCAGGGCTGTCCCCGCCCTGGGTGGGGATGATACCCGCGTGGACCCTGAGGAGACGTATGGACCTCTCCGGTCAGGTGCCCTGGGGCCGCCCGCGGGCCTGTGTGCTCCGGGACTCCACTGTTGCTATGGAGATGAGATGTCTCTTCACTTCAGCAGGCTCCTCCTCCCTTGCTGTCCAGTGTCCCTGATCCCTGGAGGAACCGCACAGAGTCCACAAGCCGTTTCTCCCCCATGAAGGCCCCAGGTGCCTCCACTCCCAAGACTTGTTCAGCCTGGCCCAGAGCAGAGGGGGTGCACCCAGGAGAACTCGCTTCAGATTCAGTTCCCTTTGCCTAGCGGTGCGTTGGCTGAAACCAACCTCCCCCTCCTCCTTTTTTTTTTTAATCACCTCGTTCTGCCTCTTTGGAGACTTCTTGCACTTGCTTTTCAGCTTCTTGGTTTCCCTTGGCGGCCAGCTTATCTGTTTTAAGTGCATCTGTCATTTCATTGTGTAGTTTGTTGGCAGTTGCAGTAGGAAGCTCACTGTAACAACACTGTGGATGGTCTTTGTCTCTGAGCCTCTCTAGGGAAAAAAAAAAAGAATTTTTGTGGCAATGGTTTTTTTTTTAAAAAATGATTTTCAAAGATTTTTCTCAGTTCTTTGCAAGTTTGCTCAATTTTTATTTTGACACCTTCCAGCTGGACTGAGAAGCCTTCCCTGTGTTGCTGTGAGTCTTCTCAGACTTTGCTAGTTATTTTTGTTTAATGTTCCCCTGTTTCCCTTCCTCCAGCTCTTCTCTTGTCCCTCCCAAGGCATTTATGACATTTAAACATGGTATCAGGGACACCTTTTACTTGAATTGTCTGCAGCACTTTTTACAGTCCTCTTCCTGCTTAGCACCGTTAAGATGTTTCTGGACATTCCTGGATCTTCAGAAACCAGTGACTGGACTCTGGGACGGAGGTGGCGCTGCAGAAGGGGCTCCGCTGGGTGGGCAGAGGGCCAGCCAAGCCCTGCGGTGCATGCGCTATGCCAGGCCGCCCGTGGGGGCCTCGATCCGGGAGGCCCTTTATCGTCTTTGTGTTCCCAGAAGGAAAGCTTTCATGGCTCACCCAGCCCCGTCCCCCACGCAGCCTCGCCCCCTACCATTCCCCGGGTAGGCCATTCTCTGATCAGACTCCGATGCTGTCCCCCGGAAGTTTCTGGTACACATGTTTGAGAAGCCGTAATCTACATCATTCACCTTATTTCCATTAAGGTCTCTCCGGGGCCTAATAGAGGCTGTGTTTAACTTCATTTGAGCCACAGATGACTTAGAAACTCCTGTTCAAGAGGAGAAAGCCATCAGTTGGCAGTGGTCTCGTTTGCTGTCCTGAAATGGGCCCCCAGGAGAGTGGGTCGAGGGTCACTATTGACTCTCCCGCCTCAGCGCCTCAAATCGTGGCATCCAGGAGTTGTGAGGCCTTCAGCGTGGGGTGCGGGAGGGGAGAGGACCCACCAAGCCGAAGAAGCTTGCTTTCTGCAGCCCGATTCTGACGGGCCCCCATCCCTCTCTGTTCCCTGTGTCTCCCCGCTCTCCTCTCTGACCACAGGGAGACACTGCAGCCTGACAGGCTGTTTCATGCTTTTTCCTTTGCGCGGGACGTGATTAAAGCCTCGGTAGGTTTGCTTCTCATCCCCGATGTTCCTGAAGAGCAGACAGACTGAGACATGAAGTGTGATGTGACTTCCTTGCATTCGTACCTTCTCAGCCGGGGAAGCTCTTGCCCCAGTCCTCTCCACCTGCAGGGCGTCCACTCTCCTGTCTCGGCACGGCCTGGATGCCGCCTTGACCTTGGTACCTGTCCATCGCCCATCAGAAATCAGCCACACCCCCGCCACCCTCCTTGCCTCATTTGACCGGTTACTGCCGTTTTCTGACGTGCCGTGTCTCCCTCTCTCAGCTGCCCATTCCTTGCTGCCAAGTCCCTGACGTGGGCAGGGTGACCAGTTGTCCCAGTTTGCTCTGAGGCATTTACTGGGTGGTGGGCTTTCAGAGTTAAACTCTGGAGAACCCCAGGAAACCTGGATGATCCCTCTACAGAGCCACACGTGATTATTCTTTTACAGTCTTACTCCAGTGAGAATTATGCATCATACAGCAGCGGGACTCAGTGTTTGTCCCCTCGTCTTTCAGGGGATGCAGTCCAGTGAGGCCTGCTTTGAAAAATAACGAAAGTTTGTAAAATTATCAGAAGATGGTGATGGTGTTTCTCCCTGGGAGGCAGTGTGTGTTGGCTGCTGTGTAGATAGTTTTAATCATGTAATCTCCAATCAGACGGAGACCTTCTTAAGGGCAGAAATGCCTTGCTTGATTTTTAAGACTTTTTGTTTGCTGAATGAAGGCAGGAAGGAGTGAATGAATGAATGGAGTGGGGCCTGGAGGTGGCCCTCAGAATAAACTCGGCTTTGCCTTTTCAGGAAGCTGGAGCTGGTGAATGAGAAGTAAAGGTCCAGTGTGTCTCTGTTTTATTCCTTGAAAACAGGAAGTCCTTTGATGGATTTTAAAATGCCAACAAAGATGTTGCTAGAAAAAACAAGGAGGCTTTTTATTCAGGCTCAGTGGGTGACCCTCTCCTGAATCCGTCCTGGGATGGATTTTTTCCCCCAGTGCGCACAATTTAAAGCACAGTTTTCCAGGCCCCTTATGCTGTGTGTGCTTTTATTCTGCCCTAGCCAAGGGAGTCGCAGCATTCTCTGGCAGGTTTGCAGAAGGAGTCTTTGATGCACAGAGAAGTTTGTCCCCCTGTGGGTAGAAGCTCGGTCTTCAGGGGCGGGGCTGGGAAGCTCTCAGTTTTGAAGCAGAAACAGCACCCCAGCCCCATTCCTGGTCCCTTATCTGCTTCTCAGAGCCCCACATTCAGTCTGGTTTCAGAGTCAGATCTTCTCTTCCTTCCTCTGAGATGAGAGAGAATTCGCAGAGCCAAGGCACTGAGCAGGTGAAGCCTGTGCCTCTTGCCCGGGTCAGCAGACTCTGTCCCGGTACTTCTTCCCTCTGGAGTTCTCTCCTCCTCCTCTCTGCACCACAATGCTGCATGTCCCTCAAGGTGCAGCCGTTCCAGCCTGCGGGACGGTCATTCTTTCTGAATTCCGTGTACTTTTTTATCCGTGCCACGAGCTTCCTGATGATTTCATTTGAGCTCATTTATTTCTTAAGAAAGTTTTTGAGGGCAGGAACCATATCTTCTCTGATCTCCCTGGCAACCCCAGGTAGGCAGCCCCTCCTCCTTGGCGTCACGCTGAAAATCACTGGATAAACTGGCCTCTGTAGTTAGAGCTTGGAGACTCTGAAACTCTCTGATGTGGGTGGTTGTCTAGAGGCTCAGGAAAGTTGCAACACAAAAACAAAGGAATGAAACAGACGGACAAGCGAAGTATCAGCGTTTCCCAAAATATCATCCTGCCAATAGAATTGTATAAAGAAGACTGAGGGCCAAAGAATTGATGCTTTTGAACTGTGGTGTTGGAGAAGACTCTTGAGAGTCTCTTCGACTGCAAGGAGATCAAACCAGTCCATCCTAAAGGAAATCAGTCCTGAATATTCATTGAAAGGATTGATGCTGAAGGTGAAACTCCAATCCTTCGGCCACCTGATGGGAAGAACTGACTCATTGTAAAAGACCCTGATGCTGGGCAAGACTGAAGGTGGGAGGAGAAGGGAATGACAGAAGATGAGATGGTTGAATGGCATCACCTATGGGATGGACAGGAGTTTGAGCAAACGTTTTGCCTCAAGATAGTGAAGGACAGGGACGCGTGGCGTGCTGCAGTTCATGGGGTCACAGAGAGTCGGACTTAGCAGCTGAAAAGCAGCAAAGTAGATGTGTACCTTTAAGTTGCTTTCAGAAGTATGCTGAAATGATGTACAGACACATACACATACCGTCAGCCACAGAAGGGGCAGTGGGGAGCAGGGAGGGAATCCACCCGCCTGGGGAGGGTGCCATCCAGCAGTGGTGCTTCTGGCCTGTCGCCCAGTCACCGCCACGATGCTGGGTGTCCCCAGGGTTTCTGGAGCCCCCAAAAGAATAAATGTCTTTTAACCTTTGCTTGTTCAACCTCTAAAACTATTTTGTGTCTCATGAACAAGAAAAGGCCAGGACGAGGAGTCCAGTCTCACCCTTGCTGGACGTCGACCTTCTCATCTGTACAATGGGCTCTGTCTTCAGTCCTTGATAGACTTCTTGTGGCTGAGAAGGGGATGGCCCCAGCACTGTTCCGGACATTGGATCCCGGCCCCAACAGGCCAGACCTGGGGCAGGTTGAGCCTGCAGCCTCTTGCGTCTTGCGTTTTCATTGACCAGACTACATGTTAAAATTCCACGGTATTCTTGCTAAGAGAAATAGGAATACAGATGTTGGGACGAGCCAGCCAAAGGGTCCTGTCCTCGGCTCTGGTTTGCTGGTGGCTCATTCCCGGGGGGCCCTTTTGCACTTCACAGAACAGGTATTTGTTTGGGCTTTGCCTGTCGTTGTGCGCCCAGGACCAGACTTCGTGTTTTGTTTTCCAGGGAGATATGCATCCAACAGGATGGGAGGGTTCATCTCACTGTCGTTTACTTTGGAAAAGAAGAAATGGATGAGGTCAAAGGAATACTTGAGAACACTTCCAGGTGAGTCTGAGCTGGAGCCCTGGTCGGGAGTCCGGCACCTGAGCCTGGGAGGTGGTACCTGAGCTGTTTATGGGACCAGGCTGGTTTATGTCCTTAACCACTGCCGACGGCCCGACCCGGGAGAGCGACGGGCTGGCCTTGTGGGGGGGGGGGATTGAGGGGTTGCTTCTGCGCCCTCCTTCCTGGGGGCTGCCTGCCTCGCACCCACCCTGGGGACAATAGCCCAGAGTGGCCTGGCTGGGGAGACAGGGATTCTCCAGCCCACCGTCCCAGCGTGTGGACGGCAGGTGTAGGGACTGCACTCGGCAGGGATGGAGTTGGGGAGCACGGCCTTGTGGGGAGCTGCTTCTCAGCCCTGCTCTTCAGGGCTCCGTCTCATCCACTTCACAGATGGGCTCACCGTCTGATTCTCTCATCCTGCATTTTGAGATCAGTGAGGGGTGGGCGGTGGTGACTGGGGGGACCCTAGACTCATAGAAGCTGTTGAACCAGCACCTTTGGACGGAGGCTTATGGGTTTCTACCCCATTCATCAGCTACGTGGGGGAATAAATGTATTAAAAAAACAACAGAGAGGGTTTTTTCGCCTACCCAAATAAACGAATAAACATGTACTTAATGAGTACACATCTGTGGCATTTTCTGCATGTGAGGAGGCTGGTGGGACCGTCTGCTCCCTCCTCCTGGTTTGTGGCCACAGGTGAATAACCAGCTGGGTGGTTTCTCTGTAGGTACATCTTGGAGGGTGGTCAGAGGTACTGGGGGTGGAAGTCATCTGAGTAGGTCCATCTGGTTTGAGTATAAACAAGTCCCTCTGTGTTGAGTCTCTGGTAATTGGTAACAGGATGATAGTCAAAATATAAGATGCTGAGATTAAGTGCGCTTTTTGTGTTTGTTTTCAGGCTTGGTTACTAATTTTGTATTACTGAGCACAAGATCAGAATGGTAGTAATTCAGACGTCTGAAGCAGTGCAGTGGTCAAATTCTGTCCACACTTACTTTTGTAAATGAAGTTTTATTGGCTCAAAGGCCTGCTCATCTCTTTCTGTATCGTTTATGGCTGCTTTCATACTCAGCTGCCGAGCTGAGCAGTTATGACAGAGATGGCGTAACTCACAAAGCTAAACTTTTCACTGTCTGGTCCTTTATAGAAAAAGTTTGCCAACCTCTGTTCTAAAGCAATAAGGAGTTAAAAGAGTTTAAAACTAGTACCAGTTTAAAGCCGTAGCGCCCGCTCAAGGGAGATCAAAGGGAATAAAATAATTGAATATCCTAAATGTAAATGAAATAGAAATCTCTCGACTCCAATGCATTGCAGTATCCTTTTCATCTGTACTTGGGAGTGAGGAGCGGGAGTTATTAGAATTCACGTCCTCTGCCCAGTGGATAGGTTTTAACATCTCTGCAGGTAGCCACGGGAGGTGTGGATCTTTTTCACACCTTCCGATGATTCTGACATGCAGCCACGATTGAGAACGGTTGTCTAGGAAGGTGGAGGTCCCTCCAGGGGCTGCCTGAGCTGCCTCCTTTTGGATTATTTTAAGTAGAGGTCCAGGTGACTCTAAAGCACAGTCAGGCTGGGTCTGGCATCTTCCAAGGACATCAGAAGGCGGTCAGACATTTGCTCGTAGATACTCGGGGCCAACTTTACACGAGTCTCATGGACAAATGTCCAGGGAGGCCACCGAGGCCGTGTTACAGGAAATACTCTGTCCAGTGGCTGGAGTGCCTGGGACTCTATCAAGGCAGTTTCTTCCATGTCACATTACCTGGCGGGCTGAATTCACAATCAGAGGGTTGTGTGGTGAGCCAAGAATGAATAGAACCTGAACAAGGAAAGTACAGTCATTCCCAGGGTGAGGATGGTTTGGAAAACTCCCAGAGACGAAGCTAGCCCTGAAGGGGACTTCGTGCTGAGGCCTGAGCCAGTCTTTGGAGGCGGCGCTGCAGAAACTTGCTGCCTCCCCGTTCTGTTCACCGGTGACGGGGACGCTGCGGTGTTGATGTCCCGGAGCCGTGCGGCGTGTTCTGCCCCCTCCCGGGTGTCGCTTTAGGAATGCCCTGCCCTCTGCCGCCAGCCTGAGCTGGTTCCCGCGGCGGCTGCCTGCACCCCCCCGGAGCAGATGGGGTTCCTCATCACCCGCTGAGCCCACTCGGGAACCCAGTCTGGTCCCCAGGCCGGCTCCTGCCTCTCACCCCGTTTTGATGGCCCAGCGACCCGCAGCCGCACGGGGGCGCGCTTCACCCTTCGTCCTCACCCTCCGCGTTCCCTTAGGCCTGGCGTCCCCGCCACCCTCCTTCCCGCGTCCTCTGACCCTCGGTCTGTCCACCCGCACCCAGATCCCCGCTCTGGAGCGCACCCCGCCCTGTCCTCCCCGCTCTGAGCTCTGGCCACCCTCTCCCTCAGCGTCTCTCATGTGTGGGACCTGGCATGTGATTTGCCTGTTTACGTTTCTTTCTGTTGTCCTCACTGGGTTATCAGCTGCTACATTATCACCGAGTCACATGCTTCTGTGTCTCCAGCCCTCAGCATAGGGCCTTACCCAGCTTTAAAATGTTCAGTGTTTGTCCACTGGGAGAAGGACAATGCCCAGTGTGTAGTAAATTTGTGCATAGTAACCTATGTAAAATACATAGAAGAAGCTTTACTTAACTACCATTTTCATCATTCTCTTAAGATGCTAAAACTTTAATTAAAATTCATCTCATCTTTGAATAATGTTAAACTGTTATTATTAAATAATTATTTAATTAGTAAACAATATCAGATCATTATTATTAATAATTATTATTAAACCATTGTTCTTAACATGAATGATATCATTTAATGTTCGCACCAACCTTATAAGATAGAAGCTGTTATTAACCCCATTTTTTTTCTTTTCTTTTCTGCACGGCATGTGGGATTTTAGTTCCCCCCACCAGGGATCAAACCCATGCCTGCTGCAGTGAAAGTGTCAGCTCAATCCATGGGAGTCCCAGACCCCATTTCTTAGATGAAAAAGTGGAGGTTTAAAGAGATTGGTACTCAGGCTGCTGCTCCTGATGCGGGCGACGGGCAGATCTGAACCTCGTCTGTAACTTCCAGATTCCCAGTCTTAACATCCCAGCAGATTCTCACTCCAAAAAGCCATAGCTGTTCATTGAAAATGATAAGATTTGAAACCAGTTTAAATGAAATTTATTTCACTTGGCTATCAGCATTGTGATAAAACTATTCTAAACCTAGCTAATATATACATACTTTAAGAATATCTTGAGAAAGTCTAGCTTAGTGACTAACGTGCAGTGTTTGTATCTCTTGGCTTATGCTTACTTTTTGACTACTGATTCAATCTCCTTGTTCAATATTTGTCTGTTCAGATTTTCTGTTACTTCATGATTCAGTCTTGATAAGATGTACATTTCTAGGATCTAATCAATTTCTGTTATCTAATTTGTTGGTATGTAATTGTTCACAGTTGTCTCTTATGATATTTAGTATTTCTGTGGTATCAGCTTCAGTGTCTCCTTTTTTGTTTATAATTTTGTTAATTTGAGTCATCTCTGCTATTTTTCTAGATAATAAGCTGAAGGTTTGTCAATTTTGTTTATCTTTTCAAAAGAAACTTGCGAAAACAATTGTATAAGCAGGCTTGTATATAATAAGCTCAGAAACTAGAGAACTCTAAATTGTTTAAAATGCCTGCTATGGAAAACTAGCTGGGAGTATGTTTATCTTTAAATTATTTACTGTATTCAGATCCTTTTAGTAAGTAGAAGTCATAAGCAATGTCAATATTCAGGGATGTTAGATTTAAATTTTTAAGTTATACATTATATATTTCTATGTAAATTGTTAAATCTGCTTTTTTTTTTTTTAAATGAAGGGCTCTTGTGGGAAGTGTCACATTAAGATAATTTCCTTGCAGCGGTCAGAAGATATTGATATTAGAGTAGATCACATTAGACAGCAAGATCTTTTATCATTTTTAAGCCAGCAGTTCTGGGAAATGCAAGTCAATTAGAGAAATTAAGTCTCCGTTGAAACAGTAGCTTCCTCAGATCATTTTAACCTCTGTCAGCATGAATGCATCTAACCTGGAGGAGACCGCATGCATAGGACTTATATTAAGAAAAAGGAATTGAAGGAGAAGCTCAAGAATTTTGTCAGTCGATAATTACAGTTCAAGAAGAAAAGAGAAGAAATAATTATAAGTAATCCCGGGGCCATTTGGGACTGCAGACTCTGATTCATAACAAGAGATTACATAGTAAAAAATGCGATGCCTTGAAAAACCCCGTTTCTTACAAGGCAGTTACTTGTGTGTGTGTGTGTGTGTGTGTGTGTGTGTATGTGTGTGTGTGTGTGTGTGTGTGTGTGTGTGTTCAGTCGCTTGGTGTAGTTCCGACTCTTCGCAACCCCATGGACTGTAGCCTACCAGGCTTCCTCTTGTCCATAGAAGTTTTCAGGCAAGAATACTGGAGTGGGTTGCCATGCTCTCCTCCAGGGGATCTTCCCGACCCAGGGATGAAACTTGGCTTCTCTTGCATCTCCTGCATTGGCAGGCAGATTCTTGACCACTAGTGTCACCTGAGAAGCCTTTATTACTCTGGACATGCCACTAGATATTACATTTGTATGGATGAATGAGATATTTCAAACCAAATAGCATCTTATTTTTCTCCTCACCCTTTTTTTCTTTTACTGACATATTTGTAATCTTCTGTAAAGCTTGGGTTTGTGCCTGAGAAAGAGTTGACTGGGGCCTCTTCCTGACTGGGGAGGGAGACCCACCCCAGAGGGGGCGGTGGTGTCCTGGGGCAGCTAGGTCTGAGCCCATGGACTCATCTCCTGACTCATCCAGTGTTTGTGGAGCTGCTCTGGGTCCGGTGGGAACCCTTCACTGCAAGAGCTGATAAGCCCTGAAGATAGAGATAAGGACAGCCCCCGTCCTGCAGGGTTTAGAGGGTAGGCCAGGGGGGTCAAGTGCACGGGCGGAGAGATGGCATCGGTCCCGGAAGGTGAAGGAGGGACTGGCCCCAACGCCTGGGGCTCAGAGGGGACACCTCCTCCCACGGGAGGGTGAGAGGGGATGCCACTCGACAGGGACCATGAAGATGGGGGGATCTTCCCTGGAGTCCGTGGAGGAAGTGGATCCCGGGAGAGGAGACCGCGGAGCTGACAGGAGGTCCCCGCGTGTCCACGCCATCGGTGCCGGTCTTCTGGCGGAGGGGGTGGGGATGGACAGAGCTCCCCATGGCCCCCTGCCTGCGCACCTCTGCGTCTGGGCTGCAGCCTTGCGGTCGTGTTGCGCACGTTCCCACACCCACGACCCACTGCGGCAAGTCGGTGTTCCGTGTTGAGACGTGTCCTTGCTTTTGCACAGCCCTTAGTACATGGTCCCCGCGCCGCGGCAGGTGTGGGGCCCAGCGGGCGAGTCCCTCCGCGGGCAGGTCCGGCCGCCGGTGTCCCTTCAGCCCGCGCCCTCGGCTCTCGAGCTGGTGCCACCGAGTGTCAGGCGGGAGGGCGGCCCACCTCCAGCCCCGCTGCTTCGCCGAGTGTTCAGCTCGCTGTCCTAGACAACAGAGGAAGTCTTCCTGATTCGGCCGCTGGTGTCTCCAGCTCAGCCCTCGTTCTCAGCAGACCCCGTGTCAGTCATCAGAGGCCCTTCCTGGTGGTAGGAGGGGAAAAGGAGGGTGCTCTGGGCGCTGGCTAGTTAGAGGGGTGCTGGGCTGAGTGAGCGGAGGGGGTGCGGGGCAGGCCCGGATATCCACCTGCATACAGACGTGTCACCAAGTGCCGTGGCCTCGCAGCCCTTCTGGGAAGCAGAGATGCCGACAGAGTCCCCCTCCCTGCCCAGTGCCCAGGACCGGCCGATGGGGCTTTCTGGGCCAGCAGAGACTGTCCCCACGCTGCCTCTGAGTGCACTCTGGTCCAGGTTCCTAATGCCCCCCGCTGGCCGGCGCTGGTCAGGGTGGATGCGGAGCTGGGGTTCTGTGGGGTGCGGGGTGGGGGCTGGGGCCGAGGGGCTGCTACGTGCACAGGGCAGGCAGGGGCTGTGTCCTGGGGCTTCCTGTCGGGCCTGCAGATGCTGGGCAGGAGAAAGCGGCTTTAAAGTGCGCCTTCGGCTGGGGCGGTGCCACGGGCCGTCTCGTCCCCGTGGAGAGGCTGGAGAGAAAGGAGGCCGAGTGCCCTGTGCGTCTGGCCACGAGGGGAGGCCCCGGCAGCCGTTTCCCTGCGTTCTCTTTCTCTTCAGACAACGCGCTGAAGCACAGAGTTGATGCTGTGACTTAAATAATTGTAAGTCAGGGTCGTCTCAAGCGCCTTCCCCACCCCTTTTGCCAAATCCGTGACTGACAGGCAGACCCCTCCCCTCCCACCCCTCAAGCTCCACCCCACTAGCCAGGGCCCAGCCGTGAAGAGCGGTCCTTTAGCGGAGCTCAGACCAGAATCCGCCTGCAATGCAGGAGACCCTGGTTCGATTCCTGGGTCGGGAAGATCCCCTGGAGAAGGGCTAGGCTCCCCGCTCCAGTATTCTTGGGCTTCCCTTGTGGCTCAGCTGGTAAAGAATCCCCCTGCAGTTGGGAGACATGGGTTCGATCCCTGGGTTGGGAAGATCCCCTGCAGAAAGGAAAGGCTACCCACTCCAGTATTCTGGCCTGGAGAATTCCATGGATTGTATAGTCCATGGGGTCGCAAAGAGTCAGACACGACTGAGCGACTTTTTCACTTTCGCTTCAGGCCAGGGTTTGGGGAGCCAGGGGACGGAACAGATGAGACTGACCTCTCTGTGGGGCACGTGTGCCCCCCCAGGCCGCATCCCCCCAGACCTGTAGCCCTTGCCCAGGCGTCTCCCTGCCACTCGCTCAGCCCCCCGCCCCCCCCCCAGGCTGCTCATCTTCCCTGCTGTTCGTTCAGTAAGAACGTGAAAGTGCTGGTCGCTCAGTCGTGTTCGACTCTTTGCGACCCCATGGACTGTAGCTTACCAGGCTCCTCCGTCCATGGGATTTTCCAGGCAAGAGTACTGCAGTGGGTTGCCATTGCCTTCTCCAGGGGATCTTCCTGACCCAGGGATTGAACCCGGGTCTCCCGCCTTGTAGGCAGACGCTTTACCATCTGAGCCCCCAGGGAAGTCCATATATACGTATATAACTTACTTATTTTTGGCTGTGCTGGGTCTTTGATGCTGTGAGGCCGTGTATCTAGCTGTGGCGAGCGGGGCTACTCTTTGTTGCGTTGCTGGGGCTTCTCATTGCGGTGGCTTCTCTCATTGCAGAGCACCGGCTCAGGAGTTGCGGCGCACGGGCTTAGGGCATCTGTGGCATCTGGGACCCTCGTGGATGAGGGATGGCACTCGAGGCTCCTGCGCTGGCAGGCAGATTCCTTACCCCTGCGCCACCAGGGAAGACCTGGTGGATCAGTTACTAACGCCGTCTGTATTATTTTAACTATTCACCGTGACTCCACTTTGTGTAAATGTTTGATATTCTACACAGTAGCAAATACGCTATTTGTGTAAATATTTGGTGTGTCAGCACCGATAAACTGTAGGCTATTTGGGACGAAAATCCTGCGTGTCTTTCAACACCACAATTCAGGGACCTGCCTTCCTCTACTCTTGGCAGAAGTTACTTGCTGTTGTTCAAATAGGAAGTGTTTTTGTCTATTTGAAACCTCTAATGACAGGCCTTGGGAAGCCTCTGGGAGGAGGCACCTGAGTCATGGGTCAGATACATCTGAACCAGGATTTGATGCTTCAGCAGGCCGGTCCTGCCTGCCCTGGAAATCAGCTGACCGATGTCCCTGTGGGAGGGGCGGGCCCCACAGAGCGTGGACTGTGAGACTGTTGAGAATTGCCAAGTGAAGAAACACCTGGACTCCCATCTCCCAGCCCTGTGCTGGTGACAGGCTGGCTGATGCTTACCCAGTGCTTCATGCCCTTGGCCGTGCTTGCCTTACTGATAACTGAGCTCTTAAGGAAGATGTGGTTATTCCTGTTTTGCAGATGAGGCAACCGAGGCGCCAGGAGATTGATGGCCTTGCCTAGATCACAGCCTTAATGCACAGGGGCTCCAGGCCCCAGACGCCCCAACCTTCTGAATCCCAGTGTCGCGTCCTTGGCATGTTTGGCTGCTTCACCTGTGGGTGGGACAGGGGGTCCAGGTGTAAGTGTCTGGGGATAGGCCCAGACCACCCTGCTCTGTGGGTGGGAAAGGGGGTCTGGGGATAGGCCCAGACCACCCTGCTGGGCTCCTGGACGTCATGCTGATGAGGAGCTGCTTGGTGGGGCCATGGCAGCGTGGCTGTATTTCCTTGGCCAATGAATGGCTTCGTTTGCTCCGGGGCCACGGGGTTGTTCCAGGTTCTGTTGCCTGGTCTTGACTGGCTCGTGTTCTCTCCCTCGCGTTAGCCTTGGCAGTTGTTTTCAATATGGGAAGAAACAAGAAATAAACTGGTACTTATACTGGCTCAGATGGTAAAGAACCTGCCTGCAACGCAGGAGACCTGCATTCCATCCCTGGGTTGCAAAGATCCCCTGGAAAAGGGACAAGCTACCCACTCCAGGATTCTTGCCTGGAGAATTCCATGGACAGAGGAGCCTGGTGGGCTACAGTCCATGGGGTCGCAAGGAGTTGGACATGAGTGAGCGACTGACACGTCAAAACTTCACTAGCTATTTTCAGGCCCTTAATCGCAGCGCCCTCGGGTCGCAGAGGGCCCGCGGCTCACCGTGTATTTCCCAGGGAGCTCTGTCCCGCGAGCCTGGGTGCCTGAGTGACCGCGGTCTCTCTTTCAGAGCTGCCAGCTTCCGGAACTTCACCTTCATCCAGCTGAGCGGGGAGTTCTCTCGGGGGAAGGGGCTGGACGTGGGCGCCCGCTCCTGGAAGGGCAGCAATGTGCTGCTCTTCTTCTGCGACGTGGACATCTACTTCACCTCCGACTTCCTCAACACCTGCAGGCTGAACACGCAGCCAGGTGGGCTCCCGTCTCGGCACAGCTCGCTGTGACCAGCAGCTCCCACATCAGCCTTCAGCCTCCCGGTGACGGAGACAGGGGAGCCGTCTCATCGATTCCTCCTTTGGTGTCGCGCTGGGTGCCTGTCGGCCACCACAGCTCCGGAGCTCTCAGTCCCACGGGCGTATTTATAACCCCTTTCCTGTTCTCTCCTGGGAGGTCAGCTTCACGGGACAACCAGGAGCAAGTGTGGTGGGAAGGATGTGGGCCTAGAGAAGCTGCTGAAACCATAGGGAGGGCATGCCTGTAGGCAGCCCCTAGGGCAGGGGCAGCCCCGAGCAGAAAGAACCCACAACCCCAAAAACTGTTCTCAAAGCCTGGGACACAATGGCAAGGCCGACACTCAACTGCTAGCCGCTGGAATGGCTGTGTCGGTTGTTAAAAACCTGAAATGCTTCTGTGTCAGTGGATAAAGAGCAGCCCCCCTGGGCTCCCTGAGTCTGTTCCTGCTGCCTGAGGTCACCCTGGCCGACTGCCCCGAGAGCCAGTAGTTAAAGGGTTAAGATCTGGCAGGGCAGGGGGCATCGGGACCCTCGTTCACACCCATTCCCACTGGTGGTGTCCAGTGCTGGAGCCACTGGCCATCAGCCCTTGGAGCATCACCCCTGCGCTGGAAAGTCAGGAATCCAAGTCTGTCCATCTGGTCTACCTGCTGCAGTTCTAAGATCTGTCCGGGTCCAGTGAAGGGAAACAGGGAAGTGCATGCAGACGCCAGGGGTGTGTCTGAGGGTTGAATGTAAATGAATAAACCTAGTAGCTTTATCTGTCACTTTAAGCGAAGGTTTGTTTCCTGGTTTGCAGGGAAGAAGGTGTTTTATCCCGTCCTTTTCAGTCAGTACAATCCTGGCATAATATACGGCCATCACGACGCAGTCCCTGCCTTGATGCAGCAACTGGTGAGTGCTCCCCTTGGGGCCTGGGTTGGGGGGCTCTGTTTCACGTCTGTTGTCCCCAGGGGCACCTGGCCACGAGTGGGGGTGAGTGGAAATCTGGCGGTTACTTCCTTAAGTCATTTGTAAGTTTGGCAGATGTTCTGGCCTTTGCTCCAGCACCTCCATTAAAAAAGACTTGCAGTATTTAAAAGTGGGAAGTAAATAGGAGCAATACCTTACAGAAAGGTAGTTTCACACCTTCATAGCTTTCTTCTGGCTTTTTGGAAACCAGAATCATTGTATTATGGACGAAGCACATTTTCCCTTTATTATTGCAAAACGCTATCAGGTAAGAAAGCTGAGATTCAGGCTCCGATGGACAGGCAGACGTTAGGAAGAGGCGGCTGACCCCCCGGGCTCACAGTGAGTTAGGGGCGAGGGGCCAGATCACTGCTCCCGGTCACTGTTCCATTAACATCGGGAGTGTCACCGGCCAGGTGGCTTTCTCAGGAGTGCACGAGGGACTTCTGTGCTGAGATCCTGGTGCATGGGTGATGGGTAGGGGCCCGCATAGCACCCAGGCACTCCTGAAGCTGAGATGTCTTCGTTGGTCCTTTAGGCAGACAGACAGTGTAGGTTTCAGGACGATGGGTGAAGGCAGCAGAAGGTCCCATGCCCCTGGAAGGCGTGCCGCCAGTTCTGTCATCACCTGGCTGCCATCGTCTGCAGAGACCAGCAGGCTTGTCTAAAGCGGATGCCGTCTCAGGCTGAGGGCGGGGGCAACTGCCTCGGGGGCCCCATCTCTTGTGGAGAGGTCAAGCCGCGTTCTGTCGCCTCTCAGGGTGGAGAATGGAAGCCTCCCTGTGACCCCAAGGAGCGCTGGAGTCCCCAGTGCTTTCCTGCTGCGGGAAAGGAAACTGGTTTCATTGAACACATGTTCTAAGGAATTCTTTTGGAGGGCCGATTCTGTGTTGAAGCTTCCAGATGTAGGAAAACCTGTTGTCTCCCATCCCTGCCCCCACCCCCCATCCTGGGTCTCCTTCCTGTTCTTCTCTGGCAGCTGATATATAATGACGTTTTCCAGAAAGTTGCAGCTTGGGCTGCTGCAGGCTGGACGAGGGTGATTCTGCACCCCGTCCCAGTTGGAGCCTGACCATCATCCTCTCTACCCCCCAGGGAAGTTTTAATATCGCAGCTTCTTTGTCTGACTCTGCGTGCTGTGTGCATATGTAGGTGCTTCACACATCAACACTAAGAGTTCTTCACTCCCCAAGAACCAGTGTTTACCTACTTAGGGGTGATAACCACGCCTGTTGAGACAGAGAAATTTCACATTTCCTTTCCATAGAGTTCTTAGCTTCTCATAAGGGGTCCAGTGGGAATCGAATTATGGGTTTATTTTCTTTCAACCATTCAGAATAGAAGTTCCTCTGATTTTAAACAAAGTACTGCTTTACATTTGACGTTGAATGGGCTTCATGGTTCAGCTTCAAATCAAGGCCTTACTTGCTTGCAGGGAATTCATTTCATTGAACAGTTTAAAAGCTTCATCCTTTTGTTGCGGTTGCTGTGGGGAACCTGGAGGATCTGGTCAAAATTGTCTCGGATCCTTAGAATCAGTGGTCAAATCACAAGCGGAACGCAGACTGCTGAGCCCACAGCTCCGAGGCCTCTGAGCTCTCCTGCAGCCTTGACCACTCACCTCCGAGTACCCCTGAGACCTTCACTTCTTTCTCCTAGACTCGACCAGGGTCACACAGCCAGCTAGAGCTCAGGTCAATATCGGGATTCACTTACCTAGTGTAGTGGAAACACTATTGCTCAGAATCTAGGTGAGAACAGAAATACAAGGGCAATGTCAGAGGAGAACATCCAACCCCAGAAGTTAATACGGTGGAGAGAGGACGTGTGGGTGCAGAGAGGCGGTAAAATAAAAGGTGATGATTGGAGGTGGGCGAATTAGGAAAGGCTTCCTGCCAGGGGTTCATTTTGGCTCAGTTTTGAAACATCCGACACATACATATTAATAAATTCTTGAGAGCCTTCGCTGGAACATGTCAGTATCGAGGGGAAGGCAAAGCTCAGATGCGGAACTCGGCTGTGACAGGTGACGGCCATGTTCAAATAAGAGGCAGGCTTTGCCAGCAGCCCTGCTGATGTGACCTGGGTACCAGTTATCACTACTGGCTGTTGCCTCTGACATTTGATGACATTTGACACCATCTGCCTGCAGACAAAGGTGAGAAACCAAATTTAAGGGGACTTCTTTTGTGTTCGGGTTACTTCTTTCTGTACATTTGAGTACAGTTAGTAATCAGCATTGAGTGAAATCATGGGATTTCATACTATTGTTTGACCTATTGAGTTTTAAACCTGAGATGAGCCTTGCTGATGCTTTAGTGCAGAAACAGCCTTCCAAGAAAGGAATAACCCTAATTTAAATAATTGCTAATTTCAGATATCCCTTTTCTTTGCTGGTTTGAGCCTTGTCAGTTCCTGCTGAGGTCCCCGGCAAGAAGCTGTCAGGAGTCCGCTCTCCTTACGCTCTAGTCTCTCTGTCATCTTAGGCCAGAGATGCAATTCCAAAACACAGATTAATTCTGTTAAAAAAAAAAAAATCTTTGAGGACTTCGCTGATGGTCCAGTGGTTAAGATTCTGCGCTTCCAGTGCCAGGGACACGGTTTCGATCCCTGGTCAGGGAACTAAAATCCCACATGCCATGTTCTGTGCTCCAAATGAAGTGTTTAAAGCCCCGTCTATGAAGGGAGAAGGAGCTGCCTGTCTTCCAGACGTCGGTCCTCCCACGGGGCCTGCTTCAGGTGCCCTCTGACGTCTCGGAACAGACCTGAGGAGAGATTTCCTTGCTGGTCCCGGCCACACCAGCATAGCCCTGACCCCTGATTCCTTTGGGGATGAACTGCCCCCCACAATCTGACCCTCAGACTGATCACAGAGTTGTCTGCAGACCCTGGCACCTGGGTGTGACCTGCTGCTCTGCCAGGCGGGCAGCCCTGCCCGGGGTCTCCCGAGCTGCCTGCCCCCCCAGGGCCATCTCCTCTCCAGTGCTGAGGAGATGATGCCTGGCCGCTCCCTCTGCCACGTGGTCCTGTCCCCCACTGCCTGACAAGTGGTCAGCGTGCGTCTGGTATGCAGGCCCGCCCCCAGCTCTCTCTGCTTAGACCCTTCTCTCTCCTTTCGTCCAAAGAGGACTTTGCCACTGGCCCGAATTTCAGTTTAAACTTCTAAGAACTGATAACTGGGCCTGGGCCATCCTTTTGGTCTGTTTCTGTTTGTTCCACTAGGTGACTCTCCCTGAGAACCGAGAGTTCCATTAACACATGCTGTGTCCGTGGCCTTGGGCAGCTGGCATTCTCTGCCTGCGTGGTCCCGTGAAAAGGACTGTCCCGCTCACATCACAGGGCGAATCGTGCAGATCAGGGGCGGGTGCCACTTGTTCAGAAGCCTCCATGCTGGGGGGCAGGTCGGGGACTCCCTGACTGCAGCAGCGGAGGTGGGGGCGTGTTCTCGGTTCCACGTGCTTCCAGGGGGCAGAGAGTCTGACTTTGGGTCACAGGCTCCCAGGACTGAGCCCCGACCCAGCACAAAGCCCTTCAGAAGAGACTCCATTTTTTAATGCAGATAAAAGGAGACTGATGGAAAAGGGTGAGTCAGTCCAAGTCTTGGAGCAGGTGGCAGCTGAGTCCATTCTTAAACCCATTCTTTGGAAGCCGTGGCTTGCAAAATGCCTTCCTTCTCGAGAAATAGTTACCGTCACGGCCACGCTGGTGCTGATCGGGGCTCGGGCCTGACTGGCTGAGTGAGTGACAGTGGGTGAGTCATTCTGTCGCCCAGCCCGAGGCCTGTGTGCACACGTGTGCAGCCTCGGGGCCCTGACCCTCAGGGGCCTACGGCGGGGTAGGGGGCAGCCTGGCCCTGGGACCCGCAGACCAGGGTGTCCGTCGCTTGCTGCGTGATGCCCGGTCCGGGGCAGGCCCTTCCCAGAAGGTGTTTATAGAGGATCCCAGGATGTCATCAGAGCATCTCGCCAGGCGAGAGGCAGGCCTGCAAACCCCGGGCCTGTGGGGTTTCTGGTGACGTGAGGCCGGCCAGATGTAGCCTTGGTTCCTGGGAGCCTGTCTCTGACTTGGAGGAAATATTCTGCCTGAGTATTTGTAGTTTAGTTTACCTTCTGACCCAGAGTGCTCCCCGCGGGACTGCGGGGAGCCGCCTTCCTGCATCTGTGGGGAGAGGCTAATTTGTGCTTGGCGTTTGGTCCTGATCGCAAGTCATCACTCCCGTCGCGTGACCGCCGTCCTGCGGGGTGTGGCCAGCACGGGCAGTGCCTGCTGGGCTCAGGGCGTGAAGACGGGGCCAGCGGAGGGGCAGGCGGCCTTGTGATGAGCAGGGTGCTGGAAACGGGTGCGATCCCGGCTGGGTGATGCTGCCCTTACGGCATCACCGTGGTCTGCGGTCTCCTCCTCTTCTGACGCGGTAGATGTCGCCCGTGTGTGTCACTCCCCTGTCCGGGAGCCGGGGGCAGAGGTTTGAAGAAGTCGAGCCATCTGCCTGGAGCCTAGGAAGGCAAGAGTCTTTCTATCTGTGGGCCCAGAGCCCACGGATCTGGGGGTCTCCTCGGTGGACGCCTAGGCCTTGGGCCGAGCTCCTCGAGGCTAAGTGTTCCCCACCCGAGCTGCGTCCATCTCTGGCGGCCGGGGACTCTCCTTCTCTGCCGGAGGAGTGACGGAGGGCCGGCACCTGTGCACGGTGGTCCGGGGGCTGCAGGTCTCGCCGTGAAGGAGACCCAGAGCCTGTGTTCGCCAGTGGTGGTGGGTGGGTACAGACGGCAGGCAGAAACAGCCCATCAGCAGGAGCGCTCCCGGGAGCCCTGGTGTTTCAGGGAAACCGTAAACTGGCCGGCGGGACGCGAGGTGGGAGCTGATGCTGGCGGGGGTCAGGGTGACCGCTGTCAGCGGAGTCCCCGTGGTGGGCCACCCTGGCCAGGTGGTGTCTGGCGGGTGCCTGGCCTTTGGAGGCCTGTGAGCCTGGCACATCCGCGGGGACCCGAGACAGGCGGGGCAGGCAGGAGCAGGTCACCCGGGGCCTCTGGAGGCCCCAGAGGTTCCCCGCGGGTTTTATTCTGATTGCCTCGGGGCGGAGGGAGCTAACCCACTGCAGGGCTTGGATGGGGCCGGACTGTGGTCTGATGCACACTCGAGGCCCCTCGGGCTCCAGTTGAAGTGCATGGACTTGGCCAGCCTGCCTGTCTTGCCCTTGACGGCACCTGCTGAGGGCACCCCCAGGTCTGTTCCCACAAAGGGCTGAATGTCCATATGCTCTTCTGAGACCAGCTTTCCGTGGCCTGCGGGCTTGTTGATAAGTGTTTGTGTAGCTCACTCCCCGCCTACAGGTCACCTTCCTCTGTCCCACTGTCCCCAGGCGAGGGCCATACCTTGCCGGGCTCTGCGTCCACTCAGCGGGCCCTGGCTGGCCACCTCCATAACCCCTCCTGTCTTTCTTCCCCAGCGCTGGCCCTCATTTTTCCTGTTTGGGGCTTTCTCTTAAATTCCAGGGAGACCTCTGCCACACGTTTGAAGTTGGGGTGCTGGCGTGGCTCTCTGACAGCATTTTTACCCAGGCCTTGTCCTGCCCGCCAGAAAGGACAGGAGCCATCAGCTGCGGGAGAAGCAGTGTCCCCGCTGGGATGGAGCAGAAGCCATGTCTAAAAAGGGACTCAGTGCAGATTTTCCTAGGCTTTCTTGCCCTGTGAAATCGCTCCAGCTGATACTAATGAAACTCTTGCTGGGGGCTTATCCTGCAGCAGGCCTTTGTTCTGGAGTCGAGCTGGGAGGATACAGGCTCCCTCCTGGCCCGTCTTCTCCTTGGTCTGGTTCGTGCCAGGCGGAGTGCCAGTGACCTCTGTGTGTGTAGACTGCAGTGGAATAAGGTGGTCTCATTGGTTGCAGAGTAAAGGGAATGTTAGGTCCCTCACCACTTCTGCAGGCCATTTGTTGAGTGTAGTTTTGGCCTGTGGAGTGGATAGAGTGGAGCTTCCCTGGTAGCTCAACAGTACAGAATCCGCCTGCAATGCAGGAGTCCCAGGACATACGTGTTTGATCCTGGGCTTGGAAGATCCCCTGGAGGAGGGCATCACAATCCACTCCAGTATTCTTCTGGAGAATCCCATGGACAGAGGAGCCTGGTGGGCCACAGTCCACGGGGTCACAAAGAGTTGGACACGACTTGAAGCAACGATGCACTCACCCATGAATAGAGTGAGCCCTCAGGAAGGTGGGCGCGGTAGGGGGTGAGAGTTTGGGAGCTGGGCTGGACGAGCCATCAGGGTGATTCAGCCCAACCTCCTCATTAAAGAAGAGGAAGCAGCGGGACCGGGGGGCCTGCCTGAGGCGGACGTGCCAGCCGGCGGGCTTGTGGGTCAGGACTTGGCGTTTCCAGTTAGCGGGGAGCCAGGCCTGGCGTCCCAGGTGGAGACCGCAGGCAGGAGGGGGCCCTGCTGGGGGGCCTCCTTTCCTCCCAGCAGCTACATGAGCTTCCAGAACGAATCCGGAAAAATAACCTACACAGTCACAAATCTGTTTCCAGGTTTACTGCAGCCGTACATATATAAGTAACAAAAAACACCTTTGAAGTCTTGCTGCTCCAGCAAATGTGTTGGAAGTGGACTTCTGAAGTGAGACATGCGCAGGGCCAGACCTGGTTTTTCACAGCTGCCCTCATCCGGAGAGGACCCCCCCCAACTCCTTAGGCTGGGGGAGCAGACGGTGCTAAAGCAGTCCATGGATGAGTGGACAGAGCATGTCCCCAGGACCCGGCCTCACCGCGTCCTCGTCCTGAGCCAGCACTGCTGCCTCGGGCTTTCTTTTCATCCCCCGAGGGTGTCCTGTTCGCGTCCTGGGCCAGAATGGCTGAGTTCCAGGTCGTTCTCTCTCCTTCTTTCAAACATCCCCAGCCCAATGCCAGGCTGGACGCACAGATGGCTTTTCCATGGTGCTGCCCCAAACCGGCCCTCCCCACTGGTCTCTGAGTGTGTGTGTGTGTGTGTGTGTGTGTGCAAGCCTACACCTAGAAACGCCCCAGCCAGAGGTGCCAGACGTCACCAGGCCTGTTGAGGACAGGTGGCAGTTTGCTGTGCCCAGTCGTCCGCGCCCCCACCAGGGGGTAGCTGTGTCAGCGACACCCCCTCCATGTCCACTCCGTCTCCCTCCGTCCAGTGATGGCACTCTCCCTGCAGGTCATAAAGAAGGAGACTGGATTCTGGAGAGATTTCGGGTTCGGGATGACGTGCCAGTATCGGTCTGACTTCATCAACATAGGTGAGCCCAGAGCCCGTTCCCCAATGGAGACCGTGTGGGTCCCTAGGAAGGCCGCTCCCCGGGAGGTTGCTGCATAAACGTGGCTCCTAACCACGTCGCTCAGGGGTCCCTGCAGCCGGGCCTGGCCCTGCGTCCTCCGCACAGAGCATCCTCCATGGGGAGGGGATTCCCCTGGACAGAAGGGCTGGGAGGGTCCCAGTTTCTCTGTGCTGAACCTGTGAAAATCCCAGACATCACTTCAGGTCCCCCGTGTGCAGTCACTGTCAACAGGCACACGTGCACACAGGCACATGTACGTGTGCACAGATGCCTACATGCATGTGCATGCATGCACACACACACCTAGAACCCAGAGGGGAAAGGCCCCCCGGTTGTAGATTGGAGGCCAAGTCTCAGAGACGCAGAGGGACCTCACAGCTAGAGAGCTCCGGGGGTCTCCTGTCCCCTGGGAGATACCACGTCACTCCCTGGGGCCGCACCCAGTCTTCAGCCTCTAGAGGGAATAGCGGGGATCGTACACGACCAGGGGACAAGTGAACAGGCCAGAGCCGTGATCTAGGGCCCCGGGGCTCGGATGGTCCCCCGGAGGCCTGTCCTTACGTGGAGACCCCCACCTTTGCATCTCCTGGGGGTCCCCAGTCTTGCTCTCTACTCGCCGCCTCCCCTCCCGCCCAAGGCCTTGGGCTTCTCCTTTTAAGGTCAGTGAGTCAATCTAAGGAGTTCCAGTTTCTGTTTTTGGAAGTTTGGTAGACAGCAGGGAATATAGGACCCTCAAAAAGAATCAAGTTAGAAAGATTAAATAAAAGCCCAAGGGACTTCCTGGAGGTCCCGTGTTTAAGATGCTGAGCTTCCACTACAGGGGGCACAGGTTCGATCCCTGGTCAGGGAACTAAGATACTTCATGGCATGTGGCACAGCCAGAAAATAGAAAAAAAAAAAAAAACATTGAATGCCTTCTGTAAGAAGCAACAGGACATGCAGGACAAGGGTCTCTGGTGAGTGTGCTCAGATTCCTAGCAGGTCACCATGGGTGTTCTTTGATTTCTCTATAAATGGCCTAAATTATTATGTGTAAATGTAATTTTCAAAAATGACCCATTTAAAAACTTTCCTGAAGGAAATTTCCATTTTGAGAAACTCTTGTTTCCTTGCTCTATGTGCAAGGAAAAGTGATTCTGCGATGATGTATGTTTATCGAATTTGGATTTAAGGGAGGCACAGTGGCCGCTGGTGTGACAACCAAGACTCAAATTCAGGCCCTGACCCAGAATCTTGGGTGTTTCCTCAACTGCCCAGTGGCCCTGCTCACAGGCAGGGGTGTGTCAAGGGCCCCCGATTCCGGCTCCATCAGAGCAATGGGCCTGGGGGCTGCAGGGAATCCAGCTAAATGACAAAGCTACTGAACTTCGATTTACTGTTTCTTATGAGAGGCCAAGAACTCTCAGGAAGCAAGGGACAGTGACAAGCAAGAGGCCAGTGCTTGCTGGTTCTGCCCGGGATGTGTGGCTTTAAGTTAGACAGGGGGATGTCACCATTCGCAAAGGTGGGAAGGAGCCACTGTGATGTGAAGTAAGATGTCTGAAGTAAAACTTCAGGACCGTGAGGCCAGTCCTTTTAAAGTGACTCCTCTCGCTGTCTTGTGGGGGCCACTCACAGCTTTGGGGACTCCCTTCAGTCCGCAGGATCGAGGGTGCTTTTGAGGGACATGAATTTTTCACACTGCCAGGCCCTCCCTGGTCTCTTCTCTGCAGGGGCAGGAGGGGCCCACGTTCGAACAGAGTGCCACGAGTTTCCGTTCAGAGGTTTGGGTTGGGACGTGGGGGGCGCTGCGGGCATCGCTGACCGCCGCGTTGCTATGACGACAGCCCAGCTGCGGCTGCCCAGGCTTCCGGGAGCCGAGGAGGCTCCGGTCTTGCCGCCTCCAGGAGCTCGTGCTGGGCCAGGGGTTTCCTGAGTTCTCTGACCCCACAGACGCGCACTACCCGGACTCGGGGGGTCGGAGGTGGGGAGACCTCCCCAAGCTGCTTCTGCTGAGCGGGGCCGGGGCCGGGCCGGGGCCGAGCCGTGGCGGGTGGGGCGGAGGGCGGCGCGCGTTCAGCCGTGTCTTCTGCCCCGCAGGCGGCTTCGACCTGGACATCAGAGGCTGGGGCGGCGAGGACGTGCACCTCTACCGCAAGTATCTGCACAGCAACCTGGTGGTGGTCCGCGCGCCCGCGCGGGGCCTCTTCCACCTGTGGCACGAGAAACGCTGCGAGGACGAGCTGGCGCCCGAGCAGTACCGGATGTGCATGCAGTCCAAGGCCATGAACGAGGCGTCCCACGGGCAGCTGGGCATGCTGGTCTTCAGGCACGAGATCGAGGCCCACCTCCGCAGACAGAGACACAAGACGGGCAGCAAGAAGTCATGAGCGCCCCCTGCAGGGAACCGGGGGTGCGCAGGCGCTTTATTTTCTTTTTCCTTTTGCAGTTGCCACAGGGAAAAAGATTGCCCTAAAAGGGCAGGGAAAGCATTCGACCGGTTAGTAAAACGGACGAGGGGGGTTTCTCTGTGCCTGTGTAGCTTATGCAACAGGCATCAAACGCCCCCCACTCGGCCTGCAGGAGCAGCCCAAACTCACCAAGCCGCGGCGACCGACAGAGACGGCCTCAGTGTGAGACTGATGGCGTGGAGGTTGTGGTCGTGTTTACTGCAAAGCGAGAGCTGTTGTTCTGTGCTTATTGAAATATTCATGGAGGAGGAGCAGCTTTGTAAAAAGTTCATTAGGATGGAAGGCCAGCACAGGCCTCCCCGTCTGAGGGGTGATCAGCCGGTCTCTGGGGTTTGGGAGCTGAGATACCAGGATGCCGGCAAGGAGACCGTGTGAAATTCAAAGATACACTCATGATGATCTTTGTGAATATAGTAAGCAAAACCAAATGGACTAAAAATGAGAAAACAAACAAACTCGTAGCTGTTGTATCATCTCCCCCAGGATTAACCAAAAGTAATCTGCTCATCTTTTTGGTTGTAGTTTTAGCCATCTCTGTTAATTTTATTTAAAAATGCACTTTTTTTTTTGGCTTATGAGTTATATTCCGCTTATTTAATTACCCACTTGCAAGCCTTATGAAGAGAGCACAAGTTAGCTACATTTTGATATTTTCTAAGAAGATACTTTTCGCTGCATTGGTGCAGTTCAGAGCATCAGATTGTGACCCTCATCTGAGGACGTGGCAGACGCTGACCCTGCGGGGACTGGCCAACGGGTCATCAGGGGGAAGGCGTGGCCTGGGGCTGCTGGCCCAGGCACACGGATACTTATCTGAAGAGTATTTCCAAAGTGGAGCAACTGAACACTGGAGGGAATGGAAAATGTACTTTTTACCTTAACAGAGAAGGAAACTCATTCAGACTGGTGATAAAAGTCAGAAAACACGTTTTCTCCTCAGGGGAACTGGGGACCACTTTCTTACCTGTTGAAATAAACCAAAGCAGACTGTATGAACCAAACGCTCTCTTTTCTAAGCAGGGTGCTCTTCCTGGCTTCTGGCTTCCACGAGAAGAAACACAAGAAAATGTCTTTTGTGAAAGGTCACTCCACCCGCCAGCGTCCAGTGGGATGGAGAGTTGTGAGGTGGGTTCCTCCAACCCAGCCGAGGGGCGGGGACTTCATTGTTTTTTCAATTACGCTCTTCTACTCAGTCACCAAGATGCTTCTGAAAATCTCATTTTGTTACATTTTACAACTATTTAAAAAAAATAAATGCAGTTAACATTGAGTGGTTTCTCTGTTTATGTGAAAATTATTTACTTATTAGCCAGCACCAGATACAGGAGCTAATTATCTCTCAGGTGCCTTGCCTTCTGTTTGCCCACAATCAGCTCATTGTTTAAAAGCGCCAAGAGCAGTCAAGCTGTTGGTGGGTAAAAAAGACAAAATGCATTGTACTGACTTGTACTGGTAGTTCATAAAATCCAATTAGAACCCAGGACATGAATGGAAGGCGGCATTGCTGCTGCTAAGTCACTTCATCGTGTCTGACTCTGTGCAACCCCATAGACGGCAGCCCACCAGGCTCCCCTGTCCCTGGGATTCTCCAGGCAAGAACACTGGAGTGGGTTGCCATTTCCTTCTCCAATGCATGAAAGTGAAAAGTGAAAGTGAAGTCGCTCAGTCGTGTCCGACTCTCAGCGACCTCATGGACTGTAGCCTACCAGGCTCCTCCATCCATGGGATTTTCCAGGCAAGAGTAACTGGAGTGGGGTGCCAGTGCCTTCTCCGGGAAGGCGGCATTGGACAGCTAATAAAATGTGAACTATGGATATGATTTCTTCTTGAAGTCAGAACAACAGGTCTTTAGTTTCTGGAGAGGGGTTTCCTGAGTGTCAACCAGCTCCCCTTGGCTCTGCAGCATTTCGGGGGAGGTCATCCCCTGACGGGGGATGTCCCGTGTACCCAGCGTCCCTGAGTCCTCCTCCCCCGACGCCTGGAGCACCTCTCACCCGAGGGACACCTAACCGTTCTCCACCTCCAGGGGAGGGGGGCACTGATCTAGCAGAAGGGGCGAGCCTCGGTGGGAAACCTGGCAGCTGATACAATCTGCTCGTCCTTTTTAAAAATTTTTTTCTCTGTTTAGTTTTGGCCGTGTTGGGTCTTGGGTGCTGCTTGGGCTTTTCTCTGGTTGGCCAGAGGGGCTGCTCTCCATGGCGGTGCCCGGCGTCTCGTTGCAGCGCGCGGGCTCTCGGGTGCTTGGGCTTCTGTAGTTGCAGCTCCCGGGCCCTGGAGCGCAGGCTCAGTCGTTGTGGCACTTGGGCTTAGTGGCCCCGTGGCACGTGGGATCTGCCAGATCAGGAGATGTGTCTCCTGCATTGGCAGGCAGATTCTTTACCGCCAAGCCACCGGGAAGCCCTGCTCGTCCTTTTCGACGAGACGTTGAGGGGTGGTTTCCGAGGGCCCTCTTATTTCCACACACACGGTGCTCCTGGAGGAGACGCAGGCCCGGGTCTGTCTCCCCAGTGGGTCTCGGGCTTGGTGGGGCTGACCCTGCCCCCTCCAGCCTGTCTTCCTTCAGGTCCAGAGGCTGCTGTTCAGGCTGGCAGTGGGAGCGTGTGTATCTATGAGGTCTGAGTATCCCGCTGCGGGGCCTCCAGGCCGAACTCCATGGGTGACCACCATTTGTGCGGGTTTAAATGGCACAACGCAGAGGGATGGGATGGGGAGGGAGGTGGGGGGGGGGTTCAGGATGGGCAGCACGCATACACCCGTGGCGGGTTCATGTCGGTGTATGACAAAACCACTACAATATTGTAAAGTAGTTAGCCTCCAGTTAAATAAATTTATATTTTAAAAAATGGCACAACACAGGTGCCTGAGGCAGAGGTGGAGAATTGGATTTTGGAAGATGCTGAGGGTGGATGGAGCGTGTTAGTTGCTCAGTTGTGTCCAACTCTTTGCAATCCCATGCACTGTAGCCCTCCAGGCTCCTCTGTCCACGGGATTCTCCATGGGTCTCCCACATTGCTGGCAGAGTCTTTACCATCTGAGCCACCAGGCAAGCCCTAAGAGAAGAGACAGCAAAGTCAAACTGTGTATAAGTATATATATATACGTCCCTCTTTTTAAAGCTTCCCTGTGGCTCAGCTGGTAAAGAATCCGCCTGCAGTGTGGGAGACCTGGGTTCGATCCCTGGGTTGGGGAGATTCCCCTGGAGAAGGGAAAGGCTACGCACGCCAGTATTCTGGCCTGGAGAATTCCATGGACTCTATAGTCCATGGGGTTGCAAAGAGTCAGACATGACTGAGCGACTTCCACTTCCTTTTTAAAGCTTAGTTAGGTAAAGGGTTTTATCAAGAGGCAGGAAGCCTCGTTAAGCACATGCAGGAGGGGTCTGTCTTAGCTGGGGCTGTCACACACAGACGGGGTGGCTTCGTCACCCAACGTTGATGTCCCAAGGTTCTGGAGGCTGAAAAGTCCATGTTCAAAGCACTGGCACTTCAGGTGTCTGGGGAGGACTTCTCATGTGTCGTCATGTGTCTGAGGGCAGACAGAGGGCTGGCTTCCCTTCCTGTTCTTAAAAGGGCACTAATCCCGTTAGGAGGCTCCACCCTCAGGACCTAGCACCTCCCAAAGGCCCCACCTCCAAACACCATCTCATGGGGGCTTCAACCTGGGAATCTTGTGGGCACATTCAGCCCGTAGCAGGACCTTCCCCAGCTCCCTGCCCAAGACACTTATTTATAAAAGCAGGGTTGCTGATGCCCTCACTGGAGCACGATGGTCAGGGACTCAGCACTCAGCCTTAGACAGCAAAGGCTGGCAGTGATGACCAGTGTCTTCTAAGGAGGAAGAATGCTGCTAGGGAAGCACTGAGGCTTGGGCTCGTCTGGGGTCCCTCCCAACGCTGCCTCCTTCTCCCACCCCGTCCTGACTCTATGTAAATTGCTCAGGAACTGGTCTCAGTCCCCGTGCTGGAGCAGGGCCCTTGGTAGAACCTGGGGTCCCGTGCATCAGCCATGTGTGGACCATCCTCGTGAGAACCATGACCAGCACCCTCTCCCTCTTCTCATAAGCTAACGTTGGCAGTCAAGGACGGGTGCTCTGCTGGCCTCCACGGGAGCTGCTTTTGTGCAAGCTGCTTAAGTAGGATGCATCATACTTGCTGTTTCAGGTCAGCATGGAAATTAGTCTCAGGGCTTTCCCAGCCACGCACCTGGATTCAAATTCAGACCTTTCACTTCCAGCCCATATGATTTTAAAGCTGACAGTCTCCAACCCAGTTTCCTCACTCAGGATCATGGATGAAATCACATTTGTATCATAGGACTGCCTGGGGAATTAGCACACGTCGTGAAATGGCACTCCACTCCAGTATTCTTGCCTGGAGAATCCCATGGAGGAGCCAGATGGGCTACAGTCCTTGAGGTTGAAAAAGAGTCGGACACGACTGAGAAACTTTCACACACATGCATGTGGCAGGCATTCATGTCTGATACCAGCTCCACATTCACAACTGTGTCTACTGTTCTTCCCAGCGCACCCCACCCTCTTGGGTATAAGCAGACCGGGGGTCTTGCAGGAGACGTCATGAAACCATCACGTGTGCAGTGTTGTCCTTTATTTCTGTCATTCTGGAAACCATTTCAGTCTATCCAAAGATGGGTTACTAGGAGTGTGAAATATAATGAATAGTTTCTTCCTAAAATTCTGTGCTCAGTAATTTGGAGCTGGTGACCTCCTTGGCAGCTCAGAGGCATAGAGGTTTTTGAAGTAAAAAGCATAGCTGGGCACCTGTCGAAATGACAACTGTCTAAAGCAGTTCGTTTCATAACTTCCATTTTCCAGGAACAGAAAACTGAGGCTCAGAATTGGCCGGGAGCTGACCTGGAGGCCCTGCCAGAGAGTGGCCTCGTGTTTCCTCCCAGGATCAG